CTCTTTCAAACATTAGATTTTTTTATTGCAACTCTAAGTCCACTTGCCCATCTCAGAGCACTCACTTTATCCAGCTGAAGGTGGTCTAACAGTTTTCTGAATCCATCACAGAACTCAAGGTGATCCCAGTACACTGGATACTGCAGCTAAAATAATAACAAAGTTAGGAAAAGCCAGTTTCACATCAGCACCTGCCAGCTGTTTGCTTGAAAGTCGTGCCAATCCTTACATTAAAGGTTTCCAGACAGCAACCTGCCTCTCCCCTACTGTGAAGCTCAAGCTCCTCAGCAAGGTCTCTACTCCAGCCAGAGGGTGAGAACACCTTCCCCTCGCTTGCACAAAAATTATACAAGCAAAAGTAGCACAGAGCAAGTTTGTTGGGGAAAGTGCAGCATTGCTTCATTCTGCACTCAGGGGGAGGAGAGGCTGGAATGATTTTTCAGCAATTCCATAGCATGTAGAGAAATCATTAACTGCTGCTAGAGAAACAGCAGTACCCCTAAAGCCATACTGTTTAGCACAAATATTGTACAAGCCGATCATTTCAGTTCAGCTCAGGAGCTGAGAAGCCACAGAAGAGCAAGCTGTTAGGATTTTAAGGAGTGACTTAGTGTTTCCAGCAAGGCAGGTTAAGAACCAGGTTACCCACCATCCCCAAGGCAAACACAGAAACCCTGAACCAACCCATAAGCTTGCCTCATGGCTAACAAAGATCCAGCTGAAGGCAAAGATGAGTGGTGTCCAGGGCACAGAAGGGAAAAAACAGATTGAGAAGTTAATAATGTGTATGCTGCCCAGGGAGGGTGTGGAGTCTGCTTCTCTGGAGACATTCAAGACCCACCTGGACGCCTTCCTGTGTGATCTCATTGAGGTTCCTGCTCTGGCAGGGGGGTTGGACTGGATGATCTTTTGAGGTCCCTTCCAATCCCTGACATCCTGTGATTCTGCACAGGGCTCTGGGTAAATGCTGCCCTAAGTGTACAGCAGATTTCAGCCTGGATCTGCACACTACATACTCTGGAGTACAACTTGGAATCAGTTTTTTGGTGGATTCTCCTTAGTCAACACTAAGTAGTTCATTATCCAACCTCTGATTAGAGCAACAAGCACAAGCAGGCTGACTTTGACACAGGACTGAGAATACTCACAGCGATAACTCTGTAGCCCCATCCAGTCAGTGCCAAAATTTGCTGGAAAAACACATCTGCAGTTCCACTTACAGGAGGAAGAAATATGAGTGGGCATCGAATGCTCCTAGGTCCTGCATCATACAGCGACCAGACTTTACTGTCGTCATCATCTACTATTATCTGGAAAAAAAAGAGGCACAGGGGGTAGAAGAAATACACAAGAGAAATAAGGTTTTTCAACCAGCTTCCAGGATTGCTTCTACATAATTTCTGTCATCTAGTAAATATCATAATACTCAAAACCCCTTTGAACAAGAGCATCTTTTACTTCTCTTCACAACAGCTCTCTTCTCTAAGGCTGTTTACTAACTGCAGTTACAAAGTTTGTGTGAATACTGCTGGAAACAGAACTGTGGCCACGTGCTGTCAGACCAAATGCATTGTGTGTCCTGACGTAAGCTGGACAATGAACACTGCACCCTGCAGAGTCAGCAGCAGCACGACACGTCGTGGCTTATGGGAGCTCATCCCTCTGCAGACAACTGGAGAACACTGGGAGTGCTGAATTATGTTGTTTTTAGAGTGATAAACTGCATTTCAGAAATTACCTCTGGGAAATATATATAGATATATATATATATCTCTTCCTGAGGAAGTGCTGTTAAATAAAAGTTTCCAAAGCTTTGATCTGGATTTCAACTCAGAGGACCTTAGTGAGAACGATGGTACATCTGGATCTGAAAATTCATATGGAAATAAATCAGGGGTACAGCAAGGCTGTGCCCCAAAGGGTCAGGTTTATGCAATATTTCACATACAGAAAAATACGCTTGGGAAAGGAGCTGCTCTGCCATGGCCCAGGAGGTCAGTCCAAGGTACCAGAGCAAGAGCTGAAGGCTGGAAGAGCCCACGCTGCCCCTGGGGTTTTAAACAACCATCTCCATTTGCATTCCCTGGACAAAAGATGTTAGAGGTCTGAATCCGTGCGAGCCTGCTGAATTAAGCAGCTAACACCACACGTTATTGATCTGAAACAGTTACGGTTGGCTGGCAGACACAGAGATGCACACAAGTCCCAAAGCAGCACTGCAAAGCTGACCTGGAAAAGAGAACGCTTCCATCATCTGGCAGCATCTCAGGAGCATCCGACCGCCTAGGACACGCGGCTGGCTGAAGCAGATGATTCACACACAAGCTGCTATCCTGCATGAGCAGTTCCTCGTACAGTGCCCATCTCAGGGCAGAAATTAAAACTCCCAGCACAATTAGTAACATTAAATGTCTAAGAATTAAATAAAGGTCTTCTTTTCTAGCAACACTGGAGCCCAACTTAATTTTCCAGAGTCTGTTTTACCAGCAAACTGTTGTGTATATTTAGGATGTTCTTCCAACCTTTTACAACTCAGAAAAAGCGTGCAGCTCGCATCAGATCAACAAGCACAAGCTGCTGGAGAAAGCCTGGGTCACACAGCGGGAATTCATCTCCTCTGGATCAAGATTTGATAGCTTTTTGAATAGTAATATACAAGCAGCATTCACTTTTCTATCACCACAGTATAAAGCTTCTCAGGGAATCAGAAGAGAACAGAGTATCACAAATCAGATTTGCTTGACTAACAAATCTGCTTGTAATAAAGCCAGTATTGCAGGCTCTGAGAGCATGTGAGAAATCACGATGCTGCTGTTTTGTAAAGAAAAACAGAACAAAAAAAACCCAACAACAACAAAAAAAAAGGAAAAAGATTGCATACCAGAGCTTCCAGACCAGTAAAACCATTTTAAAATAAACCTTGTACAAAAGTCCCTTGGCACACAACTCCAGAGCTCTGGGCCTCGCCGTTCTCAGCTGTCATTCCATCAGTAATTTTGGATTGGTTCAGGGTAACTGTCAGTAACTACTCCAGAGTTTATCTTTAGGAATATTTCCAAAGGCAAATCGTACTCCTTGAAATCACAAAACCAAAGGTAGATCACGTCCAGGGAACTGAGGCTGAGAGAACATTTCTTTCCTGGAGCACAGACAATGAATCAATGGGTTTGGACAATTGTTCTCTTTGATTTCTAACCACATAGTTTAACTCCAGCTCCCAAACGAGGTTAAGCACCACACAGCGTGGTTAACTGCTGATTTGCAACATCACCAGCCTCCTTCTTGTTCTGGTCAATCAATCAAGATCACCTACAGTTTACAGCAAGGGTAAAATCTGCACTGCATGGAAACAAGGGGCAGAACTTCCCCCTTCAGTTTAGCAGAGCCAGGGTGTTCTCTGCTGAAGACTTTTAGGAAGGAGTTATCTAAGACAGCAAGATGTGTATGCAAATGCTCACAGGCAAAGCTAAAGACTTAGTTTAAGAAGGTTATTTTCTGTCCTGTACTTCCTGTATCTGACAGGAGCAGGAAGGGTGATGGAGCTCTGCGTTTCCTGCTCCTGTCAGGACAAGATCTCAGCCTCTTTTCAAACAAATGGCTCCAGCTCTGCTTCCTTAGGTCAATCTGACTGCAGCAAGGTGTGGTCACCAGCAGTAACGATGGTTGGTTGTTCCTTGCTCTCTATCCCAGAAGTGCCTGGATTGGAAAAGCCCTTTAAGCTCATGGAGTCCAATCATGAACCCAACACTGACAAGTCCCCGACTAACCCATGTCCCTCAGCACTATGTCTACACAACTCTTCAATCCCTCCAGGGATGGGGACTCCACCACTGCCCTGGGCAACTCCTTCCAATGCCTCAGAACCCTTTCAGCAAAGAAATTCTTCCTCACATCCCATCTCAACTGCCCTGGACACAACTGGAGCCCATTTCCTCTTGTCCTGTCCCTTGGTCCTTGGTTGAACAGACCCACCCCCACCTCTCTCCACCCTCCTCCAAGGGACTTGGACAGAGCCAGAAGGTCACCCCTCAGCCTCCTTTTCTCCAGGCTCAACACCCCCAGTTCCCTCAGCCAGGAACTCAGCACACTTGTGCTCCAGACCCTTCCCCAGCTCCGTTGCCCTTCTCTGGACACGCTCCAGCACCTCCACATACTGCATATGCTTTGCCTCTACTTTTGGGGGGATAATACAAGCAAGTGTAATCCTAAAGACTGCTTCAGAGATTAATGACATCTGCAAATTGTGGGTTTTTTCCTTCTCTCTCCAGAAATCAAGACTAGTATGTTTATTTTAACCTTTTTCATACACCGTACTCATCACTGTGGCATCACTTTACTTTTGACTAGACCAAATCACTCAAGGGGGTAAGGTATTCCCTAGTCTGAAGGTCACCAGGTCAACAACAGCTTCAGTTTACACGTGTCCCCACTTATGAAATGCTGAGTCGTCAGCAGCAGCTGAAGGCAGCGGCCCCTGGCAGTGAGCTGCAGTGTCACACAGTCCCCACGGCAGCGTTGTAACCAAAGCCACCAGCTCCTTTCATTCACTGTCCTGCATCCCATAACACAGCACCTCAGAGCACTCACACATCTTCCCACTGAAATACTGTCTCCTGGCTTTGCTGACCCAGTGAGGCATTGCCTGGAGGCAACAGCAGGGCACTAACAGATCTGGTACTGGCCAGAAACAGAGAGCAGCTGGACAGCCAGAGCATGCACAGTCAACAGCAACAGATCTTCCTTATTTACTGAAAACACCAACTGGCAAAAATGAAAGAGAAACCCTAAATGGAAAATCCCACAGCCCTTCCATAAAAGTGATTTCTTAAAGAAAGCCACATACCACTCAGAGGAAATAATGCTGGGCACATTTAAGTTGTTCTTTAGGTTTAGGACACAGTCCCTTCCAAGTGCCCCAACTGCCACCAACCTGCTGTTGAAAGAGGCAACGTTGCTCTTGCCTCTGCTGCCAGCACCATCCCTGTGTTCATCAACCACACAGCTATCCAGATTAGGGAGTTGAACCAGGTGGAAGTCAGCACAAAAACAAGCTGTAAAACACCCCCGGGAAAGCCAGTCAGTGACTGCTCAGCTGGTACGGTTACACCAGCGACCGCGCTTGCAGGAGCAGCGGGCTGAGGTGCAAAGGCAAGACTGTCCTTCAGACTGGCAGGAGTCTGGGCTGCTGCTGCAGGCTGGTCTGTAAGCACAGCCCAGCAAGGCTCATCTGCACAGGTACATGTGAGAGCAAGCCCAGGTCAGGAGCTACATACCAGGACTGCACTCCATGCCCCCTGCTGCTTGGCAGGTAGAGAGCAGAAGTCGGAGCACCTCAAACATTCTCCTGTGGTTCAGTGAAAGGAAGTGGAGAAATCCATGTGAGAAGAGGAAGTGGTTGGGCAGCGTGATTAAGCAGAAGACATTTAAAGGACACACAGTGGAAGAAACCACTTGGTTTTTTGCACTGTGTTTAAGGCACCTTTCTGCTCTGAGGAAGCCTGCGTGCAGCCTGACTGTGGAGAAGTTGCCTTCACACACTCTGCTTCAGCCTGAGGCCGATGGGTAGGAACAGTGGAGGTGGCTCTGGCAGCACAGTCTCATGGCAGGCAGGTCAGTTCCCCTGTTCCCCTGGCACAGTGCCCACTGGCAGCTCCGTGAGAGGCCACACACGTGGTCCCCACCACGTATTTCCTCAGAGTCTCCTCCTGTGGTATCAGGATGCCGGGTACTGCTGCCCGTGCCTCACAACAGCAAGCCTCTGCTCCCCACCATCACATGTAGAAGTGACCTCTGAGAAGCATTTGAAAATCAAGAGAGTGCTTTCATGCACTCCTGTGACACATGGGACAACAGTTGAGGAGATAAACCAGGTCACTGGCACAGCCACAGATGTTCTGCATTAACCAAGCAGCTTAGTCTCCCCCACTACAAAGCAAGGGGAGACATTTCACCCACAAGTTCTATTACAGCTGTACGTACCTTTTTAAGAGGAACTGTGCTTCTGAACCAGTTATAGTCAGGAGAGACTTTAATCTCTCCCATGATGTTTAGAAAACACTCAGTTTAGGTCAGCCTGAAAAAAAAGAGAGAGACAAAGTCAGAAATCAATACAACAGCTTTACCGTAGGCAGCACTCAAAAGCTGTGCCCTGTACGTAAAGCATTTGCTCTTATCAGTTGATGGTACTCCCTCTGCCTCATGCCAAGTTTACTTATCCACAGTTTTCATCACAAACCATTTAATTATTCTCCCGAGAGGCAGTCACCTGACTGCCCCACTGTACCACTTTAATTACGAAACGATGACGCTTTTGTAACAGCGTTCCCGTGTAACAGTCGCAGAGAAAGACAATTGTGCCGCAGGCTTTCAGTGGCTTAAAAAGCTAAAGCACCTTTTCAGTTTGGTTTTAATTTATAAAACACTCCACATTTTTATCTAATAAGTATTCATACAATTCACTAAGCAGTTCAGACAATCAATACACATTATGTCATGAACCTACAGCTTAAGTATTCAGTTCTTCCATCTCAGTATAACTGACCCAAAGGAATCCCAAAGCACATCGGGAACATCAGCTGATATGAAGATTAATTTTACAGAAGAGCCTTGAAGTTTTAATTCTATCCACACAGAAGCTCATTCTAATCAGGAGTTACCAACAAAGAGATCTTTGAAGCACACCAATTAATACAGAACAAATTGATCCCGAGCTCGGTCCAGGCAGAAATGCCACTAATTCGGTCTGAAGTCAGAACGTCCTAGCATACATAATAAGTGTCTTATAACACTCCATTAATTAATAATAAACACTTAGGTAACTTCTAGATTTAACTTTTTTTAGAGCAGTGAGAGACCATTAGCTCCCATTTACACAAACAGATGGTATCAAACAGGTTTGAAGCCTGCAGGCTCAACAGCTTTACTCTGAAAGCCAAACTGTCTCAGGAGATTATTTTCATCTATTCACACACACAGCACTGAGCAGAAGAAAACAAAGCAACTCTTGCTCTTGTTACTTAACAGTTGCCAAGTCTAAATCAATAGGTTTTGTTTCTTTAATTCTTCATAAAATAAGACCTTGGTATGTTGTGTGAGTCACTCCAATTCATTTCTCCCTGTGTGCAGGTTTAACTAGTTTATTGGGTTACAGCTGGATTTACAGTTATTTACAATTTCCTCATCTTTCAGTCTTCATTTGCCATTTCCTAAGCACAGAAAACATGAATTTTCAAAGGGAAAGTACTTTCTAAATTGCAAGACAACATATATCTTCCACAGAGCAGGTGATACACTTTTTATGTCTAACAAGGGTGTCTGAGGTAGGAAATTCATCCGCATGGCCATTATTTCAATTTTGCAGGGCTTCATTTTGGTGCTTGCATCAACTATTCTGCTCTTTGTCACAGCTTGGCAGCAGGTAAAATTACAGCAGAGGTAAAAAAATGTCTATTCCAACAACCTGCAGATCAGAGCAGGCAAAAAGACGTGTTACTGAATGCCGGGGGGGCAGCTGGCCATTAGAGAAAGGAAACAGCAATTTAGTCTACTAAATGCCTTTCTACAACCATGAATTATCAAGAAGTTATTCAGCAAACCACAGCGTGACAAAATCATAGCAGAAATAACAAATTGCAGCAAATGCTTTAAATCAGCACGTCCTCTTTGAGGATTCTGTTAGAGCAGGGCCAAGAAACCCAAGTCACGGTCAGGGCCTCGCTACACCAAGCACTGCACGGACACAGAGGCACAGGAGAGAGACTTTCTACTCATAATTCTGGTTGCCATAAAGGGTTGGCAATCTCTTCCTGCTGTGATCACCTTCCTTTTTGTGCCACAACGGTCTTTCAGCACTGTTAAGCTAATTTGTGGGCTGGCACATCACTTGGAAGCACCAAGTTGTCTATCATTAGACCAGGTAAGGAACAGGTACAGATGGAGATGAACTTTGTCCCATCAGGTTACCTCAGCTCACACCAGAGCAGGTTAAGAATCCATCCAAAACCTAAATTTTGAGCTTCCCAGGTCACCTGTTATCACTTGAGGAAGCAAATCACTGGTCACCAGAACCTGGGCTGATTTCCATCAGCTCCTTTCTTGTACAGGTGCATCTGCGACCCCCTCATTCCTAAAGCTGCTCCTCTTTTAAAGCAAGAGTGAACACTTTTTCTTTGATTATAGAGGGGTTTTTTGCTGAAGTCAATGTCCTATTCCTGAAGTATTTTTTTCACCTTGGCACAGAAATGCCACATTAAATTTGCACGCACAAATATTTGCATCGACAACAACTACGCGCTTCGCTCTCCCAGCCACAGAAAAACTGAAACATGAACTCTAAACAGGGAACCAACAACCACCGAAGGTAACTCAAATCACAAAGAACCTTCTGCTGTTCATGACTGAGGCTCTAAAGACTCGAGTTTCATCTGCAGTAAAACCAAACAACTCCAACCTCCCGAAAATAATTCCCCCAAAGGAAGAACCACCTTTCGACGCGTTCAGAGCACTTGATAATATTCTCCTTGCGAGTTATCCCCACTACACCAGTAACACTTCCAATTCTTTATCGATTTAGAAGGATTTGGATGCTGCCACGAGAGAGGAAGCCCTGCCAGAGCAGATTAGACGAGTGGTGACTCGC